GCGTGCTGTTTCTGCTGGCAGGATGTTATTTTGAAGCGAGCTTGCACAGCTTATGAACGAGTTGGGCGGGGGGCTGACAAGGCAGCGCAAAACGCTGACAAGGAGCTGGTTATGTGTGGAGGACTGTCGATGGTGTCTTGATGCATCTTGAGGCATGCCTGGGGAGGTCTTCTCATGTGTGAACCAGCTTGGTTTGTGCGAAAACTTAGGCACGAGAGTGGGCAGACATGACTTCGCATTCCGTGCACGCACGCACGCACACACACGAACACTCACACACACACACACACGTGTGTACTTAACAGACAGTCCAGATAGATTGTGTTGTTGTTGCCGTTGTTGTTGAGCATGTATCTCAAACACGCCAAACCATTTGTCGATTCCAGTTCATCATACATCTGAAACATGCCCCTCATTTATCATGTGGCGATTCCCATCATACTTCTTCAACGCGCCCTTTCATGTGGCGATTCCGGTTCATCATATATCTTAAACACACACCCCTCCCCCTATTGGGCGATTCAGGTTCAACATATATCCGCAACCCGCGCAACCCGCGGCAAGGCCAAAAAAGAGACCGGAAAGGGTTGGGGAGCCGCAGAGACCAGAGGACCAGGGACCAAAGATCACCAGGGGCCTAGGCCAACCCTACGAAGTTGCAATTGCTGTGCTATAGCATTTGCTCTTGCTTTGCATGAAGCTATTGTGGGCAGGGCGGGGCTGTGGACCAAAGGATCAGGGGACCAGAAGACCCGGGGCCCAGGCCAACCCTACCAATGGCCCCAGACAGGAGCCAACGTTACGAAAAAAAGGGCCCCATGCACCCGGAAGTAGTGCAAGTCCCGCTGTCGAGAGTGACTGTGAACATGATGGCACCAGACATGCCGCTTGACAGCTTCCTAGGCCCTGCCAAAGACTTAGCGAAGCCCTGAAAGCAAATGTACAAAGCAGGTTGTCATATAGAAGACTGCTGTAAGTAAGTGTTGTACATCCTAGGCCGAACACTTGGATATGCACGTTTTCAAAATCGCTTGCCTTACCTGGCGGTCGAGCAACTGTTCTTGCAGCTCCAGTGTGAGTGGAGCGTCACCACCATTCACCACCAGGAGCACGAACCTGATGGAGGACTTCGTGATAATGATCGTTGTTGTGATGGCGGTATGATTTTCGAACCTGTCACTCAGACTGGCCAAGCCCAGTGCTATGGTGTAGCATAATTCGGCAAAACTCACTCATGGAACCGCGAGGAGGTGTGCGGTGCAGGATGTAGGGGCTGACCCCTAGGAGTCTTGAGCGAGCATATAAACAAAGACGCTTGTCTACGACGAGAAGTAGCTTTCCACAGACCCTCAGAGCTGCAAGCAAGCTTGGCCTGCAGCTACGACAACGACTCGGCTGTCATGCCACCTACGACAAAGAGATGGCTGTGCAGCCAAAGATGCGGCACGGAAATTGTGGCTTGAATTCCAGCGACGAAGCCGTCAATGTAGGGTCTGCCGACATGTGCAGGTTGCGATTGCAAGCGCACCGGAGTGAAGCCTAAATCCTGAAGCTGCTGTATGGAATCCCGCGCTGTGACATACGGTTATAGTACTTGTTGACTGTGACTTTTCCAGACTGCCAAAAACGGAGAGAGAAGCGGACCATGAAGGATTTCAAGCTGCAAGATGATTGAATCAAGCCCGCTCGAACCTATGCACCTCCTCGGCGCGGCGCATGAAACCGTACGTACCATGCCGTGCTAAACAAGTCACTACAAGTTGACGCATATGTGGTTCCAACTTTTAGGATTCTCTGTTCCTCAGGCCCAAAGCGGCTACGGCTATGACACTTAAAATACGCCAAACTCCCGCAACCGAAAGAAGCAACCGATCATGATTTCATTTCATGAGGTCCAATTCGGGAATTGCGACTCCCTCTTTGCCTGAAGCTAGGATACTCCCCCCCCCCCCTGACGGCAAAGAGCCTCTCAATGCACAGGATGGGCTCTCTGACCTGAGAGGGGGAACCCGAGACACCCGGGGGTTCGAGGGCTTCCGGATTTCCGTTGGCAAAATCCAAGATCCACTCAAAATCTGCCCGGCAACTTCGTTCATGGCCAGGCCGAGCTGTCTACCGAAAGCCTCGCCAACTGCATTTTCACCAGCCAGACCCGATCTGCCCCAACTATCTATCTGATCAGCATGGCGGCTTACATTCGCGAAACCTGCGGACCCGGCAAACCTCGCATTTCAAGAGGGGATCTCGGACCGTTACGTGAGCACCCCGACAGAGAAGATGAGTATGGCGGATCATGCCACGAACAACGAGAGATGAGTGTCATGCGGACAGCAACCCAACGTCAGCAAGTCTTCGCAGCAACACTTGCGGCAACCGGTCCTGATTAACCTTGGTAGTCTCACTCGTTTCCGCTTCCTTTCAACCCTTGACTCCAGACAGGGCCTTGGCAATCTCAGGTCTTCGGAGGTGTGGAACTTCACGATAGCGCTTCCTTGCTTGTTTGCAGGTCGACAATTTCGGAAAGGCTTAAGTGGGAAATAGTGGGAAACAGGAATCCTAGCAACCCGGCCCAATGCGAGAAGGTCCAGACAGAACATGAACATCGAACCCTTCGATCTCGGGGAGACTTCATGTGTCGCTTGGAGTCGCTTGTCCTTCCGACTCGCAAGCTGTTCTACCGTCCAAGTGATGCATCACCGCGATCTTGGCCCAAGGGGCATGCTGGGTGTAAAACTCCAAGAGTCGGATTGCGCAAAGTAGGACTCCTCTCAGCGCACAACTGCAAGGGAAAGTGCATCATAGGCTCGTGCCTTCACTCACGAGCCGGGGCATCCTACACGAGATTCTGCAAAGAGATGTAGATAAGGCGCGACTATCGCGATTGGATGGGATTCAATCAGCCCCCCTGAAAACCACAAGGTGTGCCACTGTTGGTTGCCATGCGGCAATGGAGGCCATTTGAAGTGTACTGAAGCGCCGATGCCAGGTTTCATCCTTGAGACACAACACATCAGGGACGAGAGCAGAGGAATGGTTTGCCTTTTCCCTGTCTACCTGTCTACCTGCACAACACTGCGAGACCTAAGCCTTTGCTCAGACAAGCAAGCAGTTGTGCATCTCTATTTGGCATTGGAGCTTCCATCACCTGCAGAGAAAGCAGGCTCCACGCTTCAGGCCAAGCCGACGTTTCGATGCAAGATCCTTATCCGGAAGATCTGTTGCAAGGCCACCAGAGGAGGGAGAGAGAGAGAGAGAGAGAGAGAACAGTAACAGTGGCAGGCCTAGCCATTCAGTGGGGACAGCAACATCAACGACGACGACGAGGCGCATCGCCATCACAACAGCAGAAGCAACAACGACGATGATGAAGACGGCATCCGGCTCTTGTCGCAGGTGGCTGACTGCTGCCTGTTTGAATGTGTGATAACCAAGATCCCAGTTTCGATCCCCTGCCAGGACCTGTAGGGCCCTGATAAGCCTGATAAGTGAGGCGGGAGAAACAGAGTCGATAGTGCGGCGGATCGATGGAAGCGATGTTCTGCATTTTCGTCGAGCTCCGCAGCAGTATCAACGCAGGGCTTCTGAGCTGGTGCGTTGTTTGTTCCATTCCCGCCAGACACTGCTTCCCTGCTTGCATGCTGCAAAGGGTCGTAGCCTGGATCCGGCTGACGGAGCACGCCAAGCAACAAATCTCGGGGGGCCCTGTCATGTGAAAGCTATCGTGGCAATCACCTGCTAGGCTAGGCACCCCCGGACACATTCTGAGCTGACACATGCAAAGGCTTGGAGAGGCCTGGAGCTTGAATGTTGAAGCTTAGGCTATTGCCGATGCAGTGACCGATTCTTTGCGATTTGCTGCTTCTGCCGCGTGTGGGCGTGTGGGGCTCTACACTCCGCAGCCTACGTAACAACGTTCACCGGCTTCTCAGCGACTCGGCCTGCCACTGCTGTCGGCAGAAAGCGTTGACAGCATGACGAAGCTTGCCGTCTTGCCACATGGCGAAGCTTGGTTGGGATTGGAAGACTCGCAACCGAACGGCTGAATATCATGGTTTTATGTAACCTACAAGGCCAGAGCCAGTACACATAGACCGACAAGCCCGCAAGGAGACAACGTACGAGCTGGCAGCTGGCAGTGCTACTGTTGACGCTTCGGCCCTGCTGAAGCCAGCGCGGCTGCTTCCGCAGTGCGGTTCCCCTGCGGTGGTCATGAGTGGTCAGGATAATCCTGATAGTCTTCCGTGTTCACCAACTGGGCACTAGTGACTTGCAAGGAAGTCGGGAAACAGTGTGATAGCCTGGACACGCTTCGGCTCGGACCGCAAGGCAATCCGTTATGGGGCTGCGATAGCTATCTTGACACAGCCAATGGAAGTAAGCTCGCGACGAACACGTGGATGTTGCAGCCCTCAGACAGGCATCATCTGCATGGCTTTTGTTACTGCTTGTTGCTGCTACAAGCTGGCATTCCCTCTACAAATAGTGTGATGCAGTTGCTCGCCTTTCGTGGGTTGCTGCAAATCATGATGACGGAGCTGATGGCCCTGATAAAAAGACATTCCCATCAGCATGCGATGATGAATACGAGAGACAATACATGCCGCCGATAGAGTTAGGCAATGTAGTTCAATGATTGAGATTCGGAGAACTATATGCACCGCACGTGCCAACATGCTTTCTCGTTTGCTGCATCTTGCTGCGCACAACTGTTTCCCCTCTATGGACGCTCCATCATGTTCGGTTTGGTGCTCGGTGTACTATTTGGTTTACTGTTCAAACGCGGCCAGATTGCATGTCCGAAGACTCACTTGGCAAGGTCCCATGATGCTATGTGGTTACCTTCAAGATGTGAAGTATGATTAGGCAACATTAAACGTAATGATGTCAATGATTCGAGGATGGTAACCCGGAAGCCGCCCAGCCAAAACCCAGAGCAAAGGCCCGAGCTGGCCAACAGGATCTCGAACTCCTTGCGCTTCGAGGTCCACGCCCGCAAATGTTTGGCGTGAAACTCCTCTCTGGAGATCCTTACTACAAGTCAAGGTTTCAGGTTGTGCAGGAATGGCTTCCGCGTGTTGAGAGCACGAGGCTCTCATCTTAGTGAGATGCGACCTGATGCGACCTGGGTAAAGGTCATCCATGAGGCTGAGACTCCGCAGTCTACAGAAGACTACGAAGATTCGACCTCAAGGCCCAGGGCCTGTGACTTCCGTTGAAGCATAGAAGCATGAACTGTTTATGGGCAAAGAAGGCTGAACCATGAACCACACACATCTTATGTGTGCCACAACCAGCAACGAAACTTCAGTCTAAGATAGCTGGACACCGGCAAAGCGCCACAATGGTCATAACATAGCAGACGTTTACTTACTATCGCAACGATGTTTATTGGAACCCTTGCGCCACGCAACAAAAAAGTCTACCCGCTGTTGAACTCTGGCTCGTCGGAGCCGCGAGCGTCGCAAAGGCTCGTGGCGACAAAAGCTCCCAGCATCGTCCGAAGCAGCTTACAACCTTAGGACTCTTGACTTGTACAGTACATAAAATATCATATCATATGCAGTATATGTACATACATACATACTCACACACCTACGTGCACACGCACAGACACACACATACATACGTACGTACGTGCGTACATACATACATACATAAATTCATACATAACTTACATTCATATGCATAGCGATATAGATTTGCCATATTTGTTGTCATCTGAACAATGATCTATAGTTACATGTGGTCGTTTCTGTGTCAGGTTCTGCTTTTGTCATTGAAATATAGCATATATATGATGCCAAACCCAAAGAACCAGTTCCGCACCACCCCATTCTTGTATGCCCTTGAAACCAAGGCCAGGGAAGTCTGTCTGCTGAGCCAAGCTTAACGTCTCACTGCACCAGAGCTTCATTCCAAGCGAGGGGCGCCCAAGGAGCATGCTTTCAGTGCCGTCGACAGATCATTTTGGCGCCGAAGGCCTAACACCGTCAGCAAGCTTTGTGCCCTTCACATGCGACTTCAACAGCTTGGGTGACGAGTGGCCTCTGTCAACGTTCGCACTTCTGCCGCGGCCGCGGGGCATCCATTCACAGCCGGCCGGAGGCAAACACGAAGGTGCCAATCGGCCACCACATGCATATCGCAAGTAGGTACATTGGGACGCCGAAGCGACAAAATGGCGAACCATGATTAGACCATAGCGGGATAACGTCTTGATTGCAGCTTAAGCAGTCTTGGTATATAGTATATAGCGGAAGTTGTGAGCTGAAGCACATGGCTGCAGGATGCAACATGGCCGCACTCTTTCTGCAGTCGCGCATCTGTGTCCTGCTGCCCGGAGGTTCTAATTGCCTCGCTCTGCTGTCTTACTCGCTATAACTAGCCATGGGCACCTGATTCTCAACTCTGTCTCTGAAAGCCTGCCTGGGCGAATGCGGTGGCGAAGCAACAGGCCCTTGCGAGCGCATGCCCCCGCATCCGGCGATGCCTGCTGGAATTCTGCAACAAACAGGATGCTGCAGACTGGAAAGAGGATGTAAGCAGGTCGACAGTGAGGGGCCTTGCAGTTCCAATTTAACTCCTTGAACGTTTTAGGTCTGATTTCTGTGCAGTCAGTGCCGACCCGTGCCTAGGCTCATCGCCTCCCGGTATCGTCATAAGGACCATCTTCGTCGCACTATGACAGCACAGGCCGCATCGGTCGTATGGGGTTGGGGATCTGGTCTTGCTTCTGAGTGATGCCTGCTTACAAAGGGCAAGTCTTACATGCTTGCTAACGGGTACACGTGCAAGCAGTTAGGCTTGCTCTGACACGAGTGGGAGGACGCAATTGCGGTTTCGGAACCAACCCTTCATGGCCCCCCCACAGACCACAAACTGATGAAATATGTGTCCGCATGCCTCGTGTGCCTTCAGACACAGGACAATGCAAAAATAATCAGAAAACAAAGCTGCCCGCATCTCGCAATTCCGGCTCCAAGCTCCACTGTCTACCAAAATCTATTTTGGCTTCATCACCCGCTGCGTCGGAATCGTCGGGTCCCGGCGGTCTCCATCCGACGCATCGGAAATCGCTGAACCTCTGGGAGCCACCAAGTCACCAAGGAGGACGTCAACACAGCACTGAGACAGAAATGGGCAGAATTGACATACTGCGCAGTAGTGGCTGGCAACTCAACGAACACTGTCGGAAAGAACGCACGTTTAGCAATGGCAACAATAGGTTGACGAGAAGCATTCGTGGCTCGGGAATCTCCACCTCCACAGCGCTGGTAGAAGGCTCCTCTGCTCGATTGCAGCCGAAAGCACACAAACGGTCACAGCCCATGAGAGCCTGAAGCCCCAAGCGCAATGCTTTCAGCTCTGGCCGACTGGCTGTGTCAGGTGTCAGGGCTCTTCGGGCTCAGACTGCTCCCAGAACAGCTGGGCGAAGCAATGAGCAAGTGGGACCCTGCACCAGCAAAGACAAAGTTCTGCGATGCAGCAGAACTCCGGCTTTGTTCCAAAAACAGGCATTTGGAAGACCAATGCTCTCTGGTTGCCTCACATTCCTATCAGCAGACTTTCACGCGACCACACTTTGCGACATCTGTACCCGTACCCTTTGCCTCTTGCCTTTGGCCCCCGATATCCCCCGTTACTGTCGGATCCGCATAAATAGGCCCTGGGCGCTCTGACGCTGACCATGCATTAAATGCAGCGTGGTACAGGTGTGGCTAGTCATTGCAAAAAATGGGCCAGCCTTTGCCATGTCTTGTTAGCTGGTCAGGTGCTGTCTGTCAAGCCGGGTACTAAACACGGCGCAACAATCATTGGACGCTGTGCAACAATGATGCAGTGACGTCGACGACTGACATCGCCGACAGCCACCAAACATACACTTTACTTGTAAACTGCTGCAGGCGCAGGATATCGACGTGTCCTTTTGATCCTGACCGGCGCGCTGCTCTGCCGATCTGTGACGCGGATGCGGAAAGGAGAGCTGCAGTGCCCAGAGGAACAGCGGCATCATGTTGCAGTTGTCGGAGTCCTGAGCGACGCAGGGAATTTAACTCACGAGCATGCAAGAGTAGTACAACTATGCATGATGTAAAATCAGAAGCGACTTCACTGCCAGAGCAGTTTCAAGTTTGAATCCAGCTTCCTTGTCTATGGCTGGTCTTTTTTGTGGCCCATGCCGTAACGCTGTCAGTTGGTTTAGGTCCCCACGGCTTCAGGAGAGCCACGTGCTTTGCACCTGGACTTGAGCCGTGGAGGCGTCTGCCACGCGCCATGCAAGCCTGGAACAGATCTTCGGACAGAATGCTTGCACCTACTGATGGCTGAAGACGATGGGCAGATGCACACGCCAAAACAGTATTGGTCACAGTTCGAAGGCAGTTGCGAAGATGCCAGAACCTGTGAAGAAAATGAGCTGCATCTTGTGATGCAAGACATGGAGAAGATGTATAGTCTCGGATGACGGCCACACCCAACGCCTCACAACTTGCAGGCTGCCATATACAGGATGTCCTTTGCAATTTCCTCGTCAACTGGCCGGGCTCCGCCATGGCTAATCGAGGGACCAGCGGACCAGCTGTACAGCCGTAAATAAAATCACAATAATGCAGTGTATACGTGTACATTTCACATGTCGTTGCCAGTACCAAACTGTAGAACTAGAACGAGAAGGTGACTAGCGGCATTCCGTGAGAAGTCTGGGGAAGTGTCCGATACGAAAAATGCCCAATCCTCGAAGCAAGTTGAGGATCGAAGCTGAGGGATTTCAAACTCCAGATGACAAGGTTCTCGGACTGGAAGGAAGAAGATTCGCATCTATATGATGGGCCGTGCAGCCCCCAAGCCTGAAGGTAAGCTCAGCCTAAGCTAGGCATCTAAGGACATCGTTGACTTGCTGCCTTCCTCGTGTCTCGTCGATTTAAAACCTTTGGGCACAACGCCGCAACTGACCTGCTCTCCCACAGGCATCTGCCTCGCGTCTCTACAGTGGATTGAGCAGCCACAAATCGCAACATAAAATGGACTCGACGCTGCCGTACTCAGTCCTGCCGTCTACGAGCCGGATTGAAACAAATATTAACCTAACAAAAGCTGCTTCGTGCTTTTCTTCCCCGTCTCGTCCGTACGTACGTGTAAAAGGCAGAACTACTGGCACTGGCTTTGTCGGCTGGGCGCGGATTTAGTGAGGTCTTGATACCTCGTGGATGTGATGCTCTCACGGATTTCGGTGCAAATGCTTGAACATGAGGGTCCTGTACGATGCCTCTCATGATGAACCAAAACAAGGTTCGTGAGAACGTCCGCGAGGAAGTCAGCGAGACATGCAAAAAAAACACCGTAAACACTTGGCCCATGAAGTCAGCCCCGACAAGCACATGAAAGGCTCGCGCGGACGGCTGACAGACTGGATTGTTTATGCATTCCTGCGACGAAAGTCGGAGATGTCAACCAGCTTATGCAAAAACTCCTCTCTTGAGAAGCTATCTACTGCTTGACTGAAGCTGCTGGCCATCATGGAGCACAAGAAGCGGCAAACCTCTGGAGGGAGCAGTCGCGAGTCAGCCAGCATCTTTAATGTAATGTGGTCCTCACCACCACTGAGGATATCGAAAGCTTGGTTCCACTGCGCCCATGAGGACTCTGGAACCTCCTGTTTCAGGAAGGACCTCAGCGGCACTTGGCAACCTTGGGGAGCAAATAACAGTTTCTTCTGTGCAAGTAGCTCCTCCGTTTTTGCCTGCTGCATGGCCAAGAAGTGGCCCACCACGCTTTCTACAAGGGGATTTCCATCCTTCGGCCGGTATTCCTTGGGGCAAATGCCAAAAATGAAATCATCCTTGGTCATCTTGGCGACTTCGTTCTCGGTCTCCGAGGAAGTCGACATGTTCCTCGCAGCCATCTCCCTCATCTCTGAGCTGTTGAAGTCATTCATGAGCTCTTGGCGGATGGCTGCAGGCAAGACGGGTCGTGTGATCGCATACTGATAGGATTCCAGCAGCTGGCGATTCTCCTCAACCATGGCTTCTAGCTCTTCAAGCTGGCTCAGCTCCTTAAGCCACGTCTGAAACATGCGAAGATGTCGCGTGGTCGCTCTGGGGCACAACTTCTTAAAGAAGAGGCCTATGTTGAACTTCACGCCATCCTGTCGCAGTTGCTCTAGGTCTTCCAGCGGCCGCGACAGCATCTTGATCCAAAACTCTGGCTCAATGGACTTGCCCGTTATCGTCTCCGCTTCAGCGTGGGTGATGGCGAAGTGCTTCGAGGATGCACAATGGTTGAAAAGATCCCGGACCACCTGAGTGACTGAGCGACTACACTGGATCCCTGAGAGGCAACTCAAACGAGGCTGTAAGACGCAGCAACGCCCTGCCTTCATCTGAGATCGCCGTAGGAAGCTAGAGTCAAGCGAAGCAGCAGTCTCCATTGGTGGGTTCACAGGAGCAGAATGAGAGAGGCGAAACTTCCTCTCATCTTCTTCAAAGACTTCTGGATCATCCTCCAGCCCGCGGACTGAAAAGCGCTCCAGGAACAACGCGAAGGGGATGGAGAGTGGATCCCCAGTGAGTCCCAGAAACCAGTCCTCAATGACCGCGAACAATATGGAGCCCTCTTCGAGCATGAACTTGACCTCATCCGTAGCTGGGCGGCTCTTCGCCGATTCCAGGATTCTGAGAAAAAGTTGCTTGGCCAGAGGCTGTCTTCGCGCGTTACTTGGCATGCTGCCTTGAAGGTTGAATGCACATGCTATGCCCTGGAAAAAGGAAGAGAGCATGTCCACGAACTCCGTCATCTCGAAGGTGCGATTGTCATTTATGTCAAAGACGCCCAGCAAGAAGCGAACCTTCTGCCTTTGGAAAATGGGAACATCATGGCAATGCTGACCGCAGCTATCAGACTGCTACAATGCAGAGTAAGAGTGCAGCGAAGTGAAACACAGACTAGATGGTACGAAACGGATGCCATTCATGCAAAAGCAAAGGCCTCTTGGAAATGGCGTTTGACAGAAAGACAGCCGCAGTAAAGAAGGAAGGCATGGAGACCTTGGTGCAGAGATGGTTCGTACTGGCAGTCGTCCAAACTTCAAATTCTGAAGCGATCCAAAGGAATTGCCCGTAGCAGATAATCCAGAAGCCCTTTGGGGGATGTCCGACGCTGCAAAGCCGACTTTTGATCCCGCCGAGCCAAGATACCTTAACCTTCTTATAATCTGCGGCGGCGCGAGTTTGTTGAAGCTTGGCATGGGCCACGGGGTCGAAGAGCTTCACCCAGTCCAAGGCCTGAATGCTTGCCGGACTTTGCCATCTCGGCGTTTTACAAACGTTGTGCCTAATGTTGCTACCCACTACTGCCTTATCTATGTTGATGTGGACTTGTGTTGTGTTCTGCCCAGTCAGGGCCTTCAACATCGGCACAGCCACTGTCTCCTGGAACTGGTATGCGTCCAGAAAGGTGGGTGCCTGGCCCGGGATCCAACCACCCAAGGCCTGCCAGCGATTGTAGACCTCCACCCATGTATGCAAAGATCTCATCGTTAGCGCTTTGCATTCCGAAGCAGGGGTGCCGACGAGGACTTTTTTCCAGCAGTCCTGCAGACAGAACGGCAAGCGTCGTTGCACAACTATGGACTAGTGTTTGCGGGCTGGAACTCGCTTCTGGGTCCTGCAACCAGTCCAGATCCGCCACCTCATCACGGATGGCCACAGCTATGTCGGGCAAGGACTCCTCTGCAAAGGAGAAGCGGCGTGAGGTTTTTTCCTCCGTGGAGGCGAGCAGGTCGGAGCTCGTGGTATCCAGCAAGTCGACCGTCTGGGCTTTTTTGGAGCTCATCCGCGACGGTGTACGGAAACTACTACCAGTGGACGGGCGAGATATTGATTCTGGACCACTTAAGGTGGTGGAGTTCTTGGGCTTAGACCTGCCACTTGGCGACCCTACCTCATACCTCGGCCTAACACCTGCACTTGGCGACCCTACCTCATACCTCGGCCTAACACCTGCCGTGCTGGCTGGGCGTGGCGTGTTCCTTGAGCTGGCTCGCTCTGCTCGCTCTGCCTCAGGCTGGGGCGCTCTTGAATGGCCCATGCTAGTTGACGGCCGAATGTCACCTTCTGATTGGCCGCAGCTCAGGTCAGGCAAAATTGCATCCGGTCCCGGCAGCGTTGTGGCTTTCCTTGCCGCTGACCGTGGTGGTGCTGGCCGTAGCGTCGGAAAGAGGCTGCGGAATGCACGAGAAGCCGTCAATCCTTGGGATCGTTTCTCCTCTCTGGGGCTCGCAGGGAGAATGCCTAGGCTGCTGAGTCCAAATCACAACAACTTCATAAGACAATCGCACGCATCACTCGTGGTGTATATGTTGTCTGCACAAATGCGGAAGGAGCAGACGAGGCACCGGAAGCAGCTGCACCTTCGGCATATGTCACTGCTCTGCTTCTGGAAACGGGACGATCTTTCGATGCCATCTGCGCAGAAGTTGAGCATGAAAACGGTTGTGGCACAACCCTGGATCTTTCTTGTTTGGATTGGCTTTGTGCTGCGTAGGTCCTGCACATTACCTGGCAGGAGTCTGACTTAAATACTGCCCTCTCCCCTGCAGCCTATCGATCGCTCTATGGCCCACTACACTTGCTGTCGAGGCTACGCTGACCACGCTGCGGGCCAGAACAGCTAGGACGAAGAAGAAAGGGAAAGCAAAACTACACCAGCTGGTGCAAGAAATGCAGCCATGTGGGATTGGCGCTGACAATCATGGACAATCACATTTACACTCCAGTTGGAAACTCCGACCCTGTAGGCACGGGCTTTGTAGCTGCTCGCGACACTCACACTTGGGGGGAGGCTCGCGGCATAAACATGCATGCGTATCTGCACTTGTGCGAATCACTTATGCATGCACATTTCTCGAAAAGTTCAACTTATTGGCATGCGAGAGGCTTCGTCAGCATCGTCATCGTGATGCTCTTTGCTGTCAGACCGATGATCCTCAAATGAAGCATTCGAATGCTATTTCTGTCTCTCGCTTCTTGCAATCAGGCATTGGGCAACCTGCCGAGGCAGCAAGCACGCAAAACGCTGTCATGCGCGTCGCGAAGCTATGACTGGGCTTGGTTTGCAAGCGTATCAGCTTGCTAAGAAGATGACGGTCCCTGCGTACCATGTTCTGACTCATCATACAAGATTGGCTCTGCTATGTCTGCTTCATGACGAAGACATTATACATGACTTCTGTCGCGTACAGGATGCGTTCATGCTTGGGCACCTTTTCCCCGGCCGCTCCCAACCCGAGAGCCGTGCAACAAATAACTGGCCCCACCAAAACGACCCTTGGCCACAGCCGCGCCATAAAGACCACCGCCCCAACTGAACCAGGGCTTTAGTGCATAGCCCAACCTTATGATAACTCATGAAACCGAACCACTTGAACCTAGCGCTTCCTTACAAAACCTGAACCTAATCCAATTGCAACCGAACCGGACAGAACGGAAACGCATGCCAATGCCACCTTGCCTAACCCGGCGAAGAACTGCCTCCGAACTTGATGTGACGTCACTATATCTGAGCCGCACTGCATTGAAGCTAAAGTAAACGTGACCTGACCTGCCCCATTCCAAATCCAATGCTTATCTCGGTTTGTTGGTAATGAACGAAACTGTACCCGTACCTGACCCGATATAACCCACCTAAAGCTAAATCAAGTTAACCTACCGGACCTTCCCCACACGTACTTCTGCATTAGCCGAACCAAGCCTATATACTCGGACTGAGCCTAGGCTGGTAGCTTACAGAAACCAAACCCTTGCTTACCCAACGCAACCTAAGCCGGCCTAAAACCAGCGAGCGGGAACTATCATTTGTTGACTGAACCTAGCTTGCGACCAGCCTGATTTCGACTGTACAAAGTGTACAGTAGATTCTTTGATCCCCGTGCCTCCTCTTTGCTGGCTTGGTCGTCGCGGCCGCCGTAGCGTCGGTCACCTACATATACACCGCACCACTGAGGCTCTCGGCTAAAACGGGCGGAGAATCGATGAGAACTTTTCGCAAGTCACGATCACTTAAGACTTGGGATTAGCTTCTTATGGACATTGTTTGTTTTGTTTTGCAGGGTGTGGGGGAGTAGTTTTGTGTCAAGCTGTTGGAGAATTCCAACTTGCACGGCCCTACCTTCTGGTTTCCCCCAAGCTATATTCGATAATTTCAATTTGCAGGATCCCTCCATGACTCTATGTGCTGAGCAATTATTAGAGAACTCGCATTTGCCGGTGCGGGCTTGCCCAAAAAACAGCTAGGGACAAGAATGGACTAAATAGGCTTGATGCGTTAGACATGTTTTAAGCTGGTGTTAAAGACATATTCTCGCATAACATCGCATAACATCAGAAATTCATCGTTGTAGGACGACTTGTCGTGTTTTGTCGTGGCTTGGCAAGGCGAGCTTGCAAACAAACGAACCCTACAACTTGCAATTCCACAACACCAGCAGCTTGCCGGAAAACAGGTGGAAAACAGGACGCTCTTTCCTTCTGTCCTCGATGCTCTGCGCTCCTGGCTTGTTCCATTCTCCAGCCTCTGAGCCCTGCTTTGCCCACCTTCTCCGTCCTTCCTTCCTTCCTTCTTTCCGTGATCCCCACCAGTAATGCAAGACTCGATGGGGAGAAACTTTGCAGTAACCCTTTCCTTGACCTGCTGCAACCGATACAGCAAGCTGACAGCAGCACTGTGGTCTTGGAGCGCACATCGGTGAAACCAAGCAGAATAAGCACGAGGACAAACACAAGTCTCCTTGTCAGACTCCTAACTCGGACTGGGATGATATAACCACAACACTAGCAGCACTAGCAATACTCACACTTGATTTTTGCGCTCCACATGCGTCTGCCCGAACCCGGTGTTGTGTTGGCGTGAGGTAGGAAGCCTGTTTTTGTTGGGGATGTGGATGAATGCATTTGCCACTCAACGAGATGCCACTCACCAGGGTTTGAATACTGAATACTTTAACTACTTTGAGGCTTCAGCCCTGCACTGCTGCACATCCGGCGGCGAATAGCCAATCCACAGAGAGGCCTAATATCGGAGAGCCAAGCATTGACAGATGTCGGCGCAGCTGGTGCCGTCTTCCCGACTCCGGCCACAGATCCAAAGTGCTGACCTCAGTCGAGTCGGAAAAGCCAAACACGAAAAGTCCGTTTCACAGAGTGCAATGCCGCGCTGTCACGTGCAGCTTCTTGAAACCGCGAGAATGCATCCCTCATTGACATGTCCTTGGTACACTATCGTACCGTTTTAACGCACTGCAAGATTACTTATCAACCGAGACTCACTATGACTGGTAGAACGCCTCTCGGCCTACAAATATGCAGCGATTGCAGCGAAGGGCCGGCCCTTGAGGCGTCTCGACAGGAGCTGCCACGCTTGTGAAGCGGGTCACGGACCTCTTTCCGTACCTGATCTAGATCTGCGACACTGGATCTGAAAGGACTCTTGGGGATTGGACCGATCATCGCCGTACTCCGAGGCCGAACACAGTAGGTTTGCGCCAAGAAGCTTGGGGAAGCATCTCCGCAAAAAGTACAAATGTTCCAGATGGAAGGACATGGTAGTGACAAGAAATCCAACTCCAGCCTTCACTCAGCCTCTTTGCATCCGGGCAAATCCGAATTCTCCGTCTTAAGGCGGCTTAGGCTGCTAGCATTGCAGCCTTCCTTCTTGCAACCTCGAAACCTCATACCTAACCGACACGAGGACCCGAACAGAACGGACTATCATTCAAATGCAGCCATGGAATATAACCAAAAGGACCCAACGGACTTCAGCCGAGGAGCAGTGGCTCCTCACTGCGCCCTTCAAATCCAAGTGGAAAGCTTCCCCGAACCAGCGCCCGGTATCGCTTCTTTACGAGTCCCTCGGGCTTTGCGCGAGTGTACATTCGAAAGTGCTCGGGCTTTGGACATCTCAGGGAAGAGAGATTGTTAGCTTTGATTTCCTGCGGCTGTCGGCACTCAGAAAACGTATATACCAGCCCTAATTCAATGCCATCTTCGTTCAGACAGCAGCGAGCCTGACTGCTTCGGACTGCTACGCTTCTCACCTCTCGGCAGTTGTACTACGGTGATGCCGTGCACATCAGCCTCTCCGTTCAGCTTGAAGCCAAACGCGATACAACCCCATCGACAATGAAAGGCTTGATACGCTTCTGGAAATCGCGCACGACCTAAACAGAACAACTCCACGTGCCGGCCGCCCCCGTCCTCCGCAAACGTCGCGCTGAGGATGCGGAGAGCACTGCGGGTTTTCCTGAGCTTTACCCAGGCATAGTTGTAGATTGCACACACCTTCGCACCCAGGATGGATTGTGCCAGTGCGACTGTTTCACCCTAGGCTGAGACCCTGTGTCGTTGTTTATGGAGTTAATGTCTTACGCACATACATACGTACACACATACATACATACGTACATTTTAGCAGTCGAGCTCGAGGTCAGGCGAGGCTTCAAACATACATACATACATGCATACATGCATACGTACATACATACATACATACATGCATACGTACATACGTACTTGCATGCATGCATAACATTACGTTACCTTACATTACATTACAGTACATGCTATGAGTACATCACATCACATCACATCACATACACACATACACACATACGTACATACATACATACATACATACATGCATACATACATAACATTGCCTACCTTACAGCACATTACAGCACATGACATGACATGAGATGACATGACATTACATCAGATCACATCAGTACATACACACACATACATACATACATACATACATACATACATACATACATACATACACACGCGCGCACACAAACATGCATACATGCCTGCATGAATGCATCCATACATAACATAGTATAGCATAGCCACAGCATAGACAGAGGTGTAGACATAAACATGACGTAAACATGGCATAGACAGAACAGAATATAACATAGACATGAGCAAAGACATAAATATTGTAATATGGCATAGCCATAGCCAAACATAACACAACATGACATGACAACACAACATAAATAAAGATACATAAATAGAGAGAGAGAGAGAGAGACAGCGCAACATAACATAATATGTTTTCTTATATTAACCATTAAGCACGCGTGCATACATACAATACATACATACATACATACATACATACATACATACATACATACATACATACACACGCACATACATACATACATACATACATACATACATACATACATACATACATACTTACATGTCATACATACATACATACATTACAGAACAAACACACGTACACACATAATTACATACATATAG